TGGGCCTTAGGAAGCATTACTAACAACAAAACTAGCGGAGATGGCAGTATTCCAGCTGAGCTATTTAAAATGCTAAAAGATGATGCTGTTAAAGTGCTGCACTCAATATGCCAGAAAACTCAACAGTGGCCATGGGATTGGAGAAGGTCAGTTTACGTTCCACTTCCAAAGAAAGGCAATGCCAAGGAATGCTCAAACTACCGCACAATTGCGCTCATTTCACATGCTAGCAAGGTAATGCTCAAAATCCTATAAACTAGGCTTCAGCAGTACGCCAACTGAGAATTACCGGATGTACAAGCTGGGTTTCGAAGAGGCAGAGGAACTAGAGATCAAATTGCCAACATTCGCTGGATCATGGAGGAAGCAATTTCCAGAAAAAACATCTACTTCTGCTTCATTGACTATGCAAAAACCTTTGATTGTGTGGATCACAACAAATTGTGGCAAATTCTTAAAGAGATGGGGGTACCATACCACCTTACCTGTCTCCTGAGAAATCTGTATGCGGGTCAAGAAGCAACAGATAGAATTGGTCATGGAATAACTGATTGGTTCAGAATAGGAAAAGGAGTATGACAAGGCTGTATACTGTCACCCTGCTTATTTAACTTATATGCATAGTACATCATGAGAAATGCTGGGCTGGAAGAATCACAAGCCAGAATTAAGATTGCAGGGAGAAATATCAACAACCTCAGATATGCAGACGATACCATCCTAATAGCAGAAAATGAAGAAGAACTAAAGAGCCTCTTAATGAGGGTGAGTGCAAAAGCTGGCTTGAAACTCAACATCAAAAAAACTAAGATCATGGCATCTGGACCCATCAATTCCTGGCAAATAGAACAGGTAGAAATGGAAGCAGTAAGAGACTATTTATTTGGGCTCCAAGATCACTGTAGATGGAGACTGCAGCTATGAAATTAAGACACTTGCTCCTTGGGAGGAAAGCTATGGCAAACCTAGACAGCATATTAAAAAGCAGAGACATCACCTTGTCAACAAAGATCCGCATAATCAAAGCTATGGTTTTTCTGATAGTGATGTATGGCCATGAGAGCGGTACCATAAAGAAGGCTGAATGCCGAAGAATTGATGCCTTTGAACTATGGTGCTGAAGAAGACTCTTAGGAGTCCCTTGGACTGCTAGAAGATCAAACCAGTCAATCCTAAAGGAAATCAACCCTGACTGATCATTGGAAGGATTGATACTGAAGCTCAAACTCAGATACCTTCACCACCTAATGCAAAGAGAGGATTCTTTGGAAAAGACCCTGATTTTGGGAAAGATGGAAGGCAAAAGGAGAAGGGGATGGCAGAGGATGAGATGGTTAGATAGCAT